ATTATCAAAATGGCGAATAAAAGAGCACAATCTGTTCAATACTTAACTATTTCATGCCTGTCATAATCAAAGAATGCCATTATAATTGTATCTGATTGCAGTGAATCTCCAAGCTCTCCCTCACCGATATGCGTTTTATGTGTAACTATAACATTCGATGAAAGCTTCAAGTAGCAAAAAATACAATAAAACTTTAATTATTTTAAAATTAAAAATTTCTTCTCGTATTATTTTGTTATTATAATACTGTAGCTATTTTTTATTAAGCCCATTTTAGCGTAAAAACGAGATTCCATTTGAGTTCACTCAGTCACTTTTCATACTTCCATTTCATTTTGTTACTGTACTATTGCATTATACAACTGTGTATAGTAATGTAGTTGGAAACTGTCTCACAGATCTTAAACTAACAGTTTTTTGAAGCTTTGCAAAGAAGGGGAAATTGACTTTAATTATTTATCTAACAATTAGTAATAAATAATAATATTACGTAAATTAAAGCATGGAAAGTTGGGATGAACTATTAAATTACAAACCGTTTTTCATTGGTATATAACGTGGATCTATGAGGAATATTTTGTCGTGCAAATGATTGCATAACTTGGAAATGGATGATAAGATGTATTTGTATGAACGATTCTGTAAAATAATAAATAAAAAACAGCTACTACTTAAAATTTCTGATTTAGAAATGTAAAAAATGTAATGTTTGTGTAAAAATCACTATCAGTGATCTTATCAACATTCAAATAAGAGACCAATTTCAAACTGAAAATTATTTATAATAATCATTCAACTTTCCCAACAAAAGTTTTGCATATATTTGAAAAAATGTCTATAATTTCATATATTTAATTAATTAATGAAAAAAAGTTTTATAGCTGTGAATATTTACGCTCAAACATAAAATAAAATTATCAGATAAAAGCTTCTCTTTCTGCTGAAAAATTTTATGTCAGAATATTACTGTACAACTATTCATTTCATTTATTTATTTCAAAAATTTGCATTTAGCACAGTGATATTTTTTATTACAAAATTGTAAGCATACTCTGTGATAAGTTGACTTCAGTGATAGCATTTCTGAATGACTGATAGAAGGAGTCTCAATATGCCAGTATATGACTACATAGAGCAAAAGTACTACTAATACTAGCAGAACTGAAAATGATTGGTATCATTTCAATTTTTTCAATATAATTAATTTTATAACTAATAACTGAAATATAATGCAATCAGCAATTTAAAATTAACTCATTTAGCAAAGAAAAAAGAAAAAATGTTTGAAAATTCGTTTGATTTTTTATATAAAAACTTTCAATTTGGTAGTTTACTCAAAATAATCACATAAAATCATTGCAAATACCATAATTTTTGTAAAAAAATGTCAGCACTAAAAAACAGTAAATTATAAAAGCAATATGGAAGTGGATCAGTACGCAATGCATTGTATTACTGCGCTAATTCATTCGTTTAATCCAAACATAAACTAAACTAATTAATCTTTCAGTCAAACGAATGAACGTTTTTTGCACGCATTTTAGACTGATGAAAATTTTTTCAACGTAAAATACGATTGCACTGATGTGAGGTGTGAAAATTGGAATTTATTCACACAAAATAAATAAAATTTCATTTAATAAATCGTTTTAGCTTGTATTTTATTAATTATAACTCGCAGAGTTTATATAAAGAATTCAAAGTTAGCAAACGACTCCAACAACAAAAGTACTAACCGACTGATTTCATTGAAAACTTCAAAAGTGACAATTTTTGATCATCGATTTGTTTTAATCCCAAACAATTCTGCTGCCAACTTTAATATATTTGCAATAATTTATATTCCGATGAATTAAATTTGCAGAATTCAAAGCAATCAAATTAACAAAAATTACTTTTTGACTGGCAAACAGATTCACGCCATATGTATCAAACAAGTAATTTCGCAATTCAATACTAATCAAACAGTGAAGATATACTTAATTAAAAGTTTGATTGTACTAAATGAAATACCTACAAAGTTTGCGTTTAAAAATTTTTAGATTTCATAGAGTTGTCTGAATTTGAACAACCGATCAAGAATTTGATGTATTCTGAAGCCAACTTTGTTTATTAATTAGCACTCTTTGAAAAATGTATATTTCTTGCAGTACTATGATGTATTCACGTAGCACAACGGTGAAGCTAGGCCATTGCACTTTCAGCCTTGCTGACGCGTGTGGCTACCCCGGTCCACAGCAAAATTCTTGCGTTTGAGGACAGCGTTCGCACTACTCCGCACCATTCTGCAGAAAGTAAAGTACTGAGCTCAAGAAATATTAAAAGTCTAGCAAGATACTATAGAAGCTTGACTGTTTTATAGCTTTCCTACAAACCTAATTTGATCTTAGAAATCATTATCAGACCGTATTATTTCTGACAAAAAAAGGTTTGCTGTTGTTATACCGCACCACACGTTTGTTCCTTATTTGAGCTTGATTCAACCACTAAATTACGTCTTCACCTCCTTAGTAAGCTGTTTATACTTTCATGTACATTTTTTGAAGACAATAGCAATCTTTTCTTTAAATTATTGTTACAGTTCAATTATTTCCAAAAACTGTTTACCACAAATCACATTAGCAGAAGTATCTCGGCCTCATTTGAACTTGAAAACAGTTCTTTCGGTTTATTATTCTACTAGGTATATGCAAATTTGCCGAACTTTTATTAACACTTTAAACCCAGTCTAATCAGTCATGCCTGAAGCTAGATGAATTTAGGAATCTAAATTTATTTTGACAGATTTAGGACAAACTCAAAGAAAAATATGCTACTCAAATCTAAAATGATTTCAAAGAATTTTCAATATGAATACAATCAATGAATTTATTCAATGTTGTACATTTCTCAATCAAAACTGAATGAAATCTTTAATCATCAAGTGAACTAAGAACAGTAAACGTAGGAAACAGGAAAAAACCATGAGACAAAAGATCAGTGGTATATAAACCAAGAATGCAAAAACCCGATAGAAGAGATGGAAAATTCTATAATCTGTTTAATTTTCCAACATCAACCTTTAAGGATTTAACGAACACATCTTGAACTACAACACAAGGATCTAAATTCATTACGTTTCACCAAATCACAACATTTAGAACACTATAACACCTTAAGAAGATTGAAATCTGAAATTTCTAAACAACAAAACCGGGAAAAAAGCAATAAGGAAAAGTTTTTGATTATGAAACGACTTCTCCAAATCATCTAGAAACTAATCAATTGGGAAGATATTTAAGCATTACTTTCATCCCTCAAATAAATTCACTTATTCATTTTATAGGGACATGGAGTATACCTGAAAGGTAAGTGAGAAAGCAGATTTTCAAACGTCGAGATATACTTTTGTTTTTAGATCATCACTCAAATACTTGGATATAGCTGGTCGCAACTCTTTGTTTAAGAAACTCATCGTTTGTGATGATGAACGTCCAGTGAAATTGATGGGCAATTTTGCCAACTCTACAACTCGAATACGGATCTAAAAATGTGTTGCACATTACTGAGCAATTCACATTAAAATACGGTGAATAACTAAGGCAAAATATAACATAGTATCATGCAATTTATCAAAACATATTGTTCAAAATGAGAGCATAAAAGCAGAGTATGGATAAGTTTTCGAAAAAAATCGAGCAGAAAATACCATTAAAACTATTAAAACACTTCCGTTACCTTATCAAAAAAAACATCTGCCAAAATGCTTTCCAAATCCACTGGTGCTCGCCTTTGTGCTTCTCTCGCAGCTAAAGCTACTTCCCGAATTTTTTCATGTGCTACTTGCCGATCTGTGCCTTCCTCTGTCAACCACATCATGGCTCTTTCAAGAGCCAAAAACGGCAAATCCATATGGACATTATGTTCAATTCTGTCCTTATCAACAGTAAGCCCCTCTATGACATGCTGAAAAGAAATTATAGCTGTTTTTTGTTTTTAAATATCAAAGTGATCAGTATATATTATCAGTATTTCTCTGATTTTCTCAACAATTCAACGATATTGACATTCAAGAAGACTATTGTTATAAGGATAGAACAAATATTCAAGACACGTTACCTGAAATATAGTAAGAATTGCATCAGCAAGAAGAAAGGTGTCTGGAATAACTATTCGTCTGATGGCTGAATCATCAAGTGTACGTTCAAGACTTTGATCTCCAAGTGTATTTAATACATCCTGCATTAAAAAGATCAAAACTTAATACAGTCAATTTTTTCTAAATTCTCAAAAATCTTGCCTATTTCTAAAACTATTTTTCTAACCTCAAATGTTGCTTTAGAATGTATTTCGAATATAGAAGATTACTCTTTAGTATCCAGTCTATTTATAACTTTACAACCTCCTCTTTGAAGTGAAAATAATGGTAATAATAATAAAATGAATATACTTGAGGTGCACTCATCAACTTCCGAGCCAGACTGCTAACGCGTTCGCTTTTGATTGGATTGCGTTTATATGGCATTGCTGAACTAGCGATTTGATGGGTTTCAAACGGTTCATATATTTCACCGAAAGCCTAATAAAAATGAACATTATCATTGCTTAAAATTTACAGTACCATAAACTTTTTTCAAATCCTCTACTTTGGAGATTAAATGCAAAAAATAGCTCATTTCAAATAAATAATCAAAATTAAAAAAAGATTGAACTTGTAATAAGCGTATATCTGTGCATATTTTCTTCGCTGCGGCTCCTAACAGTGCAAAAATGTTGATAAGATCACAATCCTATAAATAAAATAAAATAAACAATTATGATAACAGCATATATATTTTCCAATGAACTCTTAGATAGAAGAACTAATGCAAACCTGTTGGCGAGAATATGTTTGACCACTGATAAAGAAACGATGTGAAAATCCTGCACTCTCCATAATCATTTCATCCAGCTTATCAACCTAAAGCAAGTGATTTCGTGTATAAAATTTAAAAAAATATTCTGGGAATTACAGAACATGCAGGAAATTATTTCTGTAATTAATGAAGTCAATTTTGGTATAAAACTGATGGAAGGAGACAAACAACTTGATATAAAAGTTTTATCTATTATCAGAGATTTTAAGCAGTTCACATAAATCCTGCGAAATTTTTTATGAAAAGAAACTGAAATTCAAAGTGTTCTTTATTGATTTACCTTAGCTTCATCATTATGGAATAATGCCATGAAAGAATCTTGCGTTCCAGTTGCACCTTTCGCGCCACGGAAGCGCATATTTTCTCGAAAGTATTCTAGCTGAGAAAAGCACTTTCATTTAAATTGTAAAGCACAGCAAGATAATATGCGCACCACCTTTTTAAAGTTGTTACTTCTAGACTAACCTGAGGTAGTGAACGATAAGAACAGATTTATTAAAATTTAATTTTTACCAACAATGTTTTGAATCAAAGAGTGCTTTAGAAGCCTGCAGAATTTCTAACAAGAAATGTGCAGAAGAAATGATCATATGATACATAAGAATTTTAAAAATCATTCGTAACAAAATTTCGTCAATGTTATTTTCATAACATAAAAAAAGCTGAAGGCAATTTGAGGATATGATATATGCATATATATTACCTTTTAAAATAAAAAATTTTTAAAATTTTCTAATGCAAATAATTACAGAAAAAAATTTATAATGATGTCAATGTTGATGAATAGAAGAATAATCCTCTGAAAACATGAGACTTCACATGTAAACATAATTTCGTACCTTTGTAAAAACCATCAGTAATTCTTGAGCCCACATTGCAGCTCGTTTACCAACAGTAACCAATGATGCCGTTTGAAAGTGAGTTCGTCCGACGGTAACAATATCTTTAGTTTTTTCAGCAAACTCATCTAAGCGACTAAGACAGACTGCAAGTCTGAAAATTCAAAATTTGATTAATCTGAAAAACATGTAGTAAAAAGTCGATATCGTTCACACTCATTTTCATGACAGTATCGATTTCTGACTTCAACTAGAAAATTGACTTCATTTCCAATTAAAATCAAAAACTGTCTCAAAATTTAAATAGAATGAGTTTACTAACTTTTTAAGAATGTAATCAATAGCTTGACGCTGCACAATTAAATCGGCATTGTCTTGAACAAAACACGATGTTGCACCCAAATGTATTATGCCTTTCGCTTTTGGACACATCTGTAAACATAAATTTTGAAAATCAGAGTTAAAAAGGCCCTAACATGCAACTTAGTTTAACATCAAGACCAAAATTACAAATATATACATGCAGTTTCATAAAAATTACTTTTCCAAAAGCAAAATTATGAGCCATGACATCATGCTTTACACGCCTTTCTTCACTCCGTATAGTACCCCAATCAATTACTTCCTTCGATTTTTTCATTTCTTCAATTGCTTCTTCTGTCACCTGCAACAAAATAAATTTATAACTCACTATTTAAATTTGGAATGTTTTAATGATTTTCCAAACAGAATAGTTTAGAAATCTTTAATAATATGTAATGCTACCTAGTCTGAACTCACACTCCAATGCAGAAAATATATTTTAGAATATGTTGTTCTGACTTAAATACATCAGAAGACCAATATTCGAAAATAAAATTCTTTTCTACGATTAAATTTGCTGGAAAATCTATTTAACTGCGAAGCGCACATTTGTAATATTTAAGATAAACTGTTTTCAAGCAAAATAAGTGAAACAGATTAAACATGCCTGTTTAAGACCAAGTTTCATTTCTGCTTCCGCTAGCCAAATCCACATTTGTCGCCAAATAATAACCTAAAAATAAAGCAGTTTTCATTTTCTGAAAACTAAAACTTATGCAACTTTCAGCACATACAATAAATGAATGAAGAGAAAGATGACAAAGACATTAAACATCATCACGTGCAAGATAAAATATATGCAAAGATACAATACATGAAAACAATAGAAATTATTTGCAGATGATCTGAAACACTTTCTTGCATTATCCTTCTCAAGTGTAAGAAACTGAAATTTTCAACAAAACGAGACTTACCTTATTCCTTTCGCTTAAAATGTTCATTAACAAGCTTGTACCACAGTATCGCGATTTCAGCACTGTTTCATATTTATCTTCGCTGTTGATATTAGAAATCATCGTCTCTGAGTATTTCAGTAAATTGCAAAATCAGTCAACCTAAATTTTCTACTCTTTATTTTTGGTATTAATTCCACATGAAAAAACCAAATATCTCAATCTCACAAATCTAAAAATTCTGCGAATATCTATAATTTACACGAGATAGAAAATTTAGTAAATAAAATTCAATGCAAGAACTGAATAAAATTCAATGCAAGAACCAAGCAGAACCAATTATTATTGGCGAAGGAACAAATATAATTGCACCAAGGAAGTGAATTAGAAACCATTTTAGGGTAAGTGTCAATTTGCAAACATTCACTCAAGTTTTGTTGCAAAAAAGGCAAAGTCACAGAAGTGAACCGAGGTGTTTGGGAGACTGGTGGGGAGTTTTCCTGGAATGATTGTGTTGCAGGAGTTGTTATTTGGTGATCATATTCATACGGAGATCGCATCAATCACTTGTCTTATTTATGTCTTCTCATATTTTATCTTGCACGTGATGATAATGCTTGACTTGTTTGTCATCTTTCTATTCATTCATTTATTATATCTATAGTACATGTGATTTGCAGTACAAGCTTGTTATAATAAATCATTATTCTCTTTATATTTCAATCTCACATATGGTGCATCTCTATTCTTTATCATTTTTTTCCAAGCAATCCTGTCCATTCAAATTTGTATCACACACGTGATATTTATTACTTGGCAAGTGTGTTTGAATCATTTCTTATGTTTTTAAATTTTAGGAATGAGAAAAAACAAACAAATTCAAGTTCTTGATGAATTTGTTATTGAAAGCAGTTGTCTTGATAAATGTCGCTGTTTGATTTCACTACTTTGTTGTTGTTAGAGCTGTATAAAACGTTAGATTGTTTTTGCAGACAGCAATGACTTCGGTAAGCAGAACCTTTATAAAAAAAGCAAAAGCAAATGAAATGAGACGAGCAAAAGTAATGAGGAAGAAAGTAAAGAAGAATGACACATCGATTACGGTGGTGAAAGCGGAAAGTAGTTCAATGGCTAGTGGAAATTCCGCTGTAAGCAAGCCTTTGGAAAGTCCCTCAAATAAAAATTTTTACGCCTCAAAAAGTTGGTTTTCTGATTTTTGCGGAATTTCCTCTATTGTTACGAAATGGTTTCTAGTATTTTCAGTTCATAAATATCTAGCTCGTGATAGCTATCAAAAACTTTTAGAATTTATAAATAGTAACTTAGTACTAGCCCTAGGTTTTGAATGCTTTCTTGTTAAAACTATAAGAATAGAAATGTACTGGAGCAAAAGTAACTAATTAGTGATTTTTACGAGAAAATGTGTTTGAAATATTAAGTTAAATTTTTTTCACTTGTAATTTTTAGTGGTTTACATTAATTAGTTAATAATGATTACGAATTCATTAGTATCAAGTACAGAAGCTTTTATCATTACAGAGTTACGGTATATAATCAGTAAGAAATATAATTCTGAAAGGCAGTTGTTTTTGAACAAAAATTCCTCTGATGAGTGCTCTTTGATTGTCGAGGATGTACCTCCTTATATAACATTGGTAAAAAATTTTTTGCTTTCGTAGCATCTTATTATAGTTTTGCAAATAAGTAAGAATCTAAATAAATTTTTATTGTGAAAGGATACCAGAAAAGAATCCAAAGTTATGAAATTGTAGACTTCATTGGGACGAATATTAGCAGAGCTTGGTTCAGGTACTCCAGAAGAAATAACTCTACGCTGTGGCACAGCAGTCGATAGTGAAATCATTGAAGTTTATAAATTTATATTCTCTTTAATATTAAAAATTCTGCTACAAGTTCTCTGTTTCAAATACTTTATTTTCTAGAGTTATTATTCGGCCTTAGCTCGTTTCAAGTCAGAATATGCTGTTGAACAAGCGTTGCAACGTTGTGAAATGATTTCCTGCCTGTGTTTAAGCGATATTAATATCGAAGTAGCAAAAACTGGAGTCCTAGGCAAGTGCCAATTTTCACGCTTTTTCGAAGGATTTATGAGTCATTTTTGCTAGTTTGATGTAAATATCGCTGAGATTTTTCTGCGGATGCTCAATACAAATTACTTGTATTCGTAGTAGACTGAATCATATTTCTTAACCAATGTTATAATGTTTACAACACTTATACTTTTTAGTTAGAACAAAAAAAATTTTATCTTCTGTCAGAAAAGTGCTGATTTCACCCGGAAGTTCAAAATAAAATAAAATAAAACTGAAGTTTGAGAAAACATCATGTTGGAAACAGTGATTCTTGTAGTGTGTTATTGTCATGATTACAGAATTCCATGAAAGGTATCGAAAATCATATAAGACAGTGGAGCAGTTACAAGAAGGTGTGGATTCGTATATCGAAAAACATGACAAGAAGATCATTGAAGTATGATTTGTGTACATAGTACTTTTACAAATATTACTTGTTTTCAGCATAATGTAGTAATTAGTTTCATGTTTACATAGAAAGTATGGTCATGGCTACACTTTTTTTCTACTGATTTATTCTCCTCTAATATCATGAATTGAGCATTTTTTTTAAAGGAAAAAAAGAAAGCAAAAAGAATGGCAAATGTTCCTGATGAAGAGGGCTGGATAACGGTTACAAAATCACGTGCGTTTAGTGTTATTTTTATCAAAAAGCAGAACTTCACTAATTATTACATCATGTAATTTTTTTAAGATTACAAAGCTGTACCACGCGCTATCGTTGTCAAAAATAAAGAAGATTTACTGCGATTAACGAAAAAGAAGAAGCGTGAGGTGTCTTTTACTTTCCATTTGAATACTAAAAGTTTTTTAAATTATCAGCGTCACGTACTTTGTAATTGGTATTACTACGCTTAAATTACTGGATATTTCGCTCTGCAATATTAAATTAAGTTCCTTCCCTGTTTTTTTTTTTGCAAATAACCTTCAATTTCAGGAAACTGATATTGCTTTCTATTCCTTCCAACTAAAGCAGTCTAGAATGAAACGTATGTTCCATATTATTCGATATTTATGTGGAATTTTCAAATGTCTAATGCTTTACTTTCTGTATCCTGAAAGCGGATGAAACTTAGGAATGACCAAATGACGAGAAATGAACTTTCAGATTCAGTGTTCTAACGAACCAATTAAAATGAAGACACAAAATTGTCTTTTAAATTTCAAATATTTTTTCAGATCTTGACGAATTGAGACAGAAATTTGAAGAGGACAAGAGAAAGCTAGCTATTGTAAAAGCGGCTAGAAAATTCCGTCCAACATGACACGTTCGATAATTGCAACCAGTGTATTCTATCTTTAATAACTACTTTTGTTCTAAAATATAATTAATCCATAAAGTTATTTCCGCAATGTATTTATCACTTCTTTTAGGTTTACATACTCCCTCACCTTATCAAAATCATAATATAATGGTACTGCAGAGCATGAGCATTACTTTTACTTTCTCGACTAAAAACTTGTCATAATGGTGCTCTTAACTTTTCAACATTGTGGCAATATATATGTCCTACAATAATTTTAATTAACTTGCATTCTTCGCTCTACTACTTTGTAACGCAACAGTACTGTAGTAAAATGAAAGAATTTTTATATATGTAGATTGCAACGATCATTTATCTAAGGTACAAATTCATGGCAATGAATGTAGAAAGTATATACGAATGCAGGAATAAAGCGTGTTATTTGCAAGCGATTGTAATTACCTTTTGTCATCTGCTAATAGTTTCTTGAGTTTACAAGAAGTATCAGGCAGGAATCAGCCTAGCCTTAGGGAAAGGAGCTCACTTGTTTGATTTCCGAAGAGCGAACACATACGAACACTAGTGCATATATTCTAAACTAAAAATATGAAAGTTGGCAAAAAAAATTTAACGTAATGCTTCCACAGAGTAAGTTTCATAAATGTCTGTTATGGGAAGGCTTGTGAAAATCAGGAGATCTTCTACTAAAACTTAGCTTGGATTGAAGAACGAATGCATGCCATTACAATGGATATGGATCTTCTAGATTCAAAAGTGTTGGTTCTCCCACATGTCGTTACTATGTTCTTAACAGCCAATTAGATTGAATACCGAGGGAAGCACCTGTGAGAAATGCTTCTATTACGCTTAATACCGATAGTACGAGTAAATTACACAAATTAAATTGATAAAGTTGGACATTAAACTACTTAACAATCGAATGATAGAACAAGGAACTTATGATCAGCTCATTAACATATGACCACCATAATTGACAGCACCAAAATAATTTTTTGCAAGGAGTTCATTTGAATTCGAAATCTTTATATATAGGAATTGTGATTCTGAAGTTAAAGCTCTCAACGTGCACAAACAACGCATTTTCTAATACTGATGCATAAGCTCATTATAAGAGGTCTTACGTGCAAATTAATGCACAGCTTAATATGACCGCATATCAAAAACTTGAAAACAATATGAAGCGATAAGCAAGAAAATACGAGGTTGTATGACAAATTAACTGCAAACGTCTTTACAAATATTTTACACAATATAAAAAATATGCAGAAAAAGTACAATTACAAAATTTGCTCAATATAAAATATGGGTCATTCAATATGATTTTTGATAGCAATTATCAGGGCATATAAACGAGCTTAGAACAATTTGTTTCAATCATCCAATTTATGAAAGCTGTTTAAACTTCTCATCTATTAGCAATCATTACCTTTACGTACTGACCATTTTAGATAATAATAAATGGACTGTAATTTCAAATGAAAGTGTCTATCAAACACAGAAAGAATTTGAAATCAAATAAGTCTAACAAGCAATGACTTACAAATTACTTATAAAATTCAAGTTAAATGAACAGCGCACAAATTCATCCATTTTTTCTTTCAAAAAAACGTTTCTTTCAAATAAAAAAAATTTAATGGATCTAGAAACACATACATGCTGTTGCTAGTTTTTAAAAGAATGCACTGAAACTAATTCAAGCATCTTAAAAATCAGATTAACAGTAAACAAATTCACTTCAAAACGTCTTTACTTCCATCACAAACATAACTAATAAACCTTCTTAAGTTTTTTATTCCTAACAATTCAGGAAAAATTTCTCAAGGATTCACACAGTTAACAAAAATTACGGAAACAAATGAGTTTAAAACAAATAAAATCAAATAACGACACGATCAAAAAAGGATGGATTTACGGACACGCACGCGTACATAAATTACATACATACATTACATACATACATACATACATACGTAACATTTCTATATGCCAGATATATACTATATAATAGCATACGTGAAAGTAACGCTGACAACTTATCGAACAATACAGAAATAAAAACTTCCATATCAGTCATAACCTGGGTGCTCTGGACAACAATTCTTGCGCATAAACCACTCATCGATGCAACTGAAACAACAAATGTAACCGAAATGTCGTTAACTGAGATAATTTCAACAAAATGTAAGAGCATCGATACTTGTTTATCATACAACAAAACTGAGAAGACATACTAATAAAACTTTTTTTAGAATAGAATTTCAAAAAATTACTACAATGCTTATAATTTTACCATAAACTGCGCTATTTTTGAAAAATGAGTCAAAATATACCAAAAAAAAATTAATAAAGGAATTGTGGCCAGTTAAAAAAAAACCTGTCATAACTACTTCAGATATTAGCATAAAATTAATGAAAGACAACTATGAGATAGATGAAAACACTTATTATAGAATTATTTTTGAACTATGCAACTTGAAAGTTTTCCAATTTAAATAGTTATCAAAAAATAAGAATTATTTAAGTGTTGGACACAGAAACCCCAAGATATCATTACATAACCTTTTATGATAAATGCATAAGCAAGGCAGACGAGCGATTCGATCTCCAGAGGACATTTCTTCAAGGCATATTGAACATTCACCTTTGTCTTCAGTCAATTCATCCTCTACAAATCAAAAACAGAGTTCTTGAAACAGTTTATAACATGAGCTCTTGTGATGTCATTAATGATAATAACATTGAATTAAATACTGAAGACATTTCGGAAATGAAAATTGCATTGAAGTGTAGTATTAAAGGAAACAAATTTCAAGACAAATGGGTCATTTCGATTGAAAGAGGAAGGTAGTCATGGTTTCTAAATACTTCTATGGTATTATCCATAAAGTCCAATTTAAAAATTAATCCTTCCATTTAATATTCAACATCAAATTAAAACCTAAATACAAACCATTATATGTTATTTTTGGACGGGTTAGGCACATAACTAGATGGACTTCAGCATCATCTGAGGGTACTATTTTTTTGCAAACTGGGCATTTGATATCTTGAGCTAAGCCTGGAAAGAAATGATTACAAGATCTCTTGCAAATCCTGCCTAATAATTACAATTCTATCAATAAAAATATGAGAATTTTAAGTAATTACCAAATTACTTAAGGAATATTAATTGGGAACATAAGGAAATCATGTTCCCGATTAATATTCAATTTCTATCCAATTACAAAAATTTATTTATTTTCAACATTTACAAAATTATGCTGTCCTAAACTTATGAAATGATGTATAATCTACCACTTGGAGATATAATCTACTGTTTTCAAGCTGTTAAAATTCTACTTCCAATTTCGATAAAATTGCTGCCATTTAATTTTTTATCTTAATATATAAAATTATAATAAAGGAAAGAGATATCTGACAGTAATATTATTTACACAGGTTTGCTACATCCGATTTATATTTTTATGAGAACTTTTGCAACACCAAATCTGATTAAAACAAAATAATAAAAAATTAAATCCCTACCAAAAGACTTTACTCGAAGACTTTGATGTATACAATTTTTTAAACATATCACAAAATAAACCTGAGTACTTTGTAATTATTTGATAAATTAATGTCAAAGAAGACCATTTCCGAATTTGTTCTTTCGAATAGTAAACTCGAGGAATTAAAAGCAAACATACATAAAAAAGCAAAGTAAACAATGCTAAACACCAGTCAGTTGAGATATCATTGTCAGAACTATATTCATGACACAATTATAATAACAACGAAACGTCAAACTCACGATTTAACAGTTGCAATACAGGCATCGATCGACGTGCTGATGAATCCCGAGAGCCTCGATGGGATCGTAGATGTGATATTGAGAATCTAGAAGTTTTCAGCGCATTAATGATACAAACTGAATTGTCACAAATTTGAAAATATTTCGAAATTATGGTAAAAAAAATAAAAAGTAACTTTACTGATTTCTTTTTTTGATGACTTTCCTCTGCTTGAAAAAACGCAACTTTTGAGCATTCATAAACAAGACACAGTAAGGATAATAGAAATCAACCTTATTGGAGGATGACGTGCGTCAGCAGATGAGCCAGAATGAAACGCAACTCTTGCACTGGGCGCATCATCATCTGAGTCTGATGTACTATCATTACCAACGCGCCCCTAGAAAAAGGTGATAAAATAAAATAAATACAGAAGGAAATGCTCAGCAAATCTGTATTATCACCAAAATTTGCGTCCCTAAATTCTACAGGAGCCACTAAATACCATAAAATCTTGCAGTTAAATATTAAATACGAACATACTAAAAGCCAAAAAATGCAGATAATAAAAAAATCAAATAATGCTAAAGACTTGGAAAAAATGTATCTTTCAACCGAGAAAAAAGCCATTGAAATGTGCTAATATGATTTCGACGCTAAAAAATAAAAAATCTCAAGCAAAAAAGATTGTGCAACATAAAATCAATCATTAAAAAAAGTTATAAATAAAATAATTGAGAAAAAATTTTCAAAATATTCGCGAATAAATTACAAATTTTCTCCTGAACTATACAAGCATGAATATCACTCTTTCTGACCTCAACGTTTCATTTATTACAAAAAGTATAAAATCATACCAACAACTTTTCAAGTTTTAAAATCACAGCAATAGTAATGCTCCAAAAAGAAATGTAAGAGCTAAAGATATATGTTGCAGAATTATTTATGATAGTGAATATCGAAAACTTTTTTTAATAGGCTTTTAATTCTTTGTAATTAATCAATAATTAATCTAACATATAGAGATGGAGAATTTAATTCTGCTTGTATTTTCTGTATGATAAAACGTGGAGTATGTGCGAAGTTAGAACTAAAAGCAATACGAAAACGCATAGAAAATGTAAATAAAATCATGCAGTTGACAGGAGAACTAAAGCTAAGATTAAAACTTTTAATAGTACCCTAGAATTTCGGGTACTACCAACACCAACGACTCCACGCGAATTACGATGATTAGTTGAAGATGACATGGATGTCGTATCTGCCACTGAATTAGATCGCGGTCGACGCTGAAGTATAAATTTAATGTTGAATTCAAGCCCTGAATAAAAATTCTTGAACAAAAGACGAAAGTAAATATAAACTTTAGCAAAGGAATGAGCATACTTTGATTTACATTCAGTGTTAAAAATATACCCTAAATATTAGTGAAAAATGCTTTGTTAATATGACTATGATTAACATGATAAAGCCTTGTAAATAATGCCGAATTCGATCATATAGCAAGAGAAAAAGTTGAACCCTGGTTACAGGTTAAGCGAAAAGAAAAAACGTTAATTTTCAACTTCTCATTTTAAGATGTCAAATTATGTGCTAATCTTTCGTATCAAGAAAAATTGGTGTAATCATATGATATGAGAACTTTTGCGTCTATTTCACTTATACAAAATACTACCAACAATATCAGGCAAATAAAACCATTATGTGTTTTCAGTAATAAATCTGCAGCAAATGTTATTTTCCTTTTCAGCGAATTACAATATAAAATAATTAGTGTTCGTTCTTCAGAAGCTTATAATTCATAAGTTAAAAAACCAGCATCTGAATGAGTTACTGTAGTTGCTCGCCAAATCAACAAGAGCTGAACATTGATGCACATGACGCCCGAAATTCAGAGCAACATATCTATTTTGAGCCTTCTTTGAAAAACGTACTTTGTTTCAACTTATAAAAAGTACGTGGAACAAGAGGCAAATTATAATTAGAAAAAACTTTAATTTTATGAAAGAAAATGAAAGGCATAACAAAACCATTCACTTTCTAAACAAACTTTCCAAAATCTGCCAAAAAATTTGTGAATTTACTTCGAATTTTAATAGTGTCGAATAGTGAAAATATTCTCAAGTCTACAAACTATAAATTTCACTTCAGAAACCAGAAGTTATGATTGTTAATGAAAATAGTGATAGAAAACTGACGTGTAGATCCGTTTGAACTGACTGTCGACCCCCCATGCAGCCCGAGTAAATAATAAATGTAAAAGGCCTTATATATACACGCACACCTATACGCTGATTCCCCCTTCAGAAAGTTGGTACGTACTAATGCCAACCAATGCCAACCACAATTCCAAATAACGTGAATGCGGCAACAAGTTGCTGTTAATTTCCTGAAAATAAAAATTACACGTCAAAGTAAAAGTAGTGAGACAAAATAAAGACAGAAGTTCAAACAAAACTACAATTTGCTGCAACATTCTCGAGCGTAAATAATTGCTCTGTAAGCTAAGTTTTCAGAGTGAATAATTTTGACCACATATTTGACCACATATATTTTGACAACTTCGAGCAGTACGACATGAAAAAACAACACATTGCCAATAAATCTTGCACAGTCCAAAATCAACGCGCATATTAATAAGCTGACAACTTTTGTTCTATCTTCTGATGTTTCATCTTCTACCGTGCACAAAAAATGACATAAATTGTGCAAAAATTTTGCAAAATGACAAATTATTCTCTAGATGGCATCCATGACTTAACACGTACTATACTATGATATGGAATAAGAGTATGAAACTAATAAAAGAACAAAGAAAGCGCAATCAACAAGTATAAATCACATTTACTTCACATCACAACCATATACAATCTTGGCTACGTGATGTAATGATTGAGTTGAATATTCCGCTGTAATATAACGAAAGAAATTTTCTGCGAAATTTGAAACTTGATGGGTGTTGTATTTTGCAGCGTAATATAAAATTGATACAGGAACAAAATGAAAAATGCATTTTTATAAACAATAATAATTATTATTTTTATTAGTGATTGATCCCATTTCTATTACTTTTGTTACTATTACTATTATGATTATTATTATTAATTATTAATAATAGAAATGGATACTAATTAATGATAATAATAATAATAATTATTATTATTCTAAAATATTGAACAGTTTGACAATAAAAGTACTAAAGATATTACTGAAAGAAAATATTTGAATATTTTCAAAAAAGGGTCAAATATTTTCTGTTCGATCAAATGTATTTTCCAAATTAAGCATTCATTGAAACATTTAATTTTTTCAGAATTAACAATATAAACTCAGCAATTTTACTGTGTTAGAAAGTCTTGAAATGAACAAAAAATATGCAAATTAAGTTGAAATTGCACAAAAGTCAGCCGCTCTTTTTTAGTGCCACAAAATTGTATTACTTAGAAGTGAACGGACGGAAAATTCTGTTAATTTGATGAAAATTAAAAAATAAAATTCGCAATCAATAGACTGCCTTGGCCTTTTCACGTTTATTTCACCGCCTTTGTACTTAAATTACTGTACAATTTTAACAAATTGAAATAACTATTTGTACATTTGTTTTTTATTGCTGTCTTCTGAACAACTTGTCTTCATTCTTTGCATCAGATAAGAGAATGATTTGTGCTGTTGCAATATTCGAAATTGCTTTATCAAAAGATCGGCAATAGTTATATTCAGAAGAATTTGATCAAAATGAGCAATTTAGACGTACTTCGCACTTCATCACTCAGCGTTTTCAATACTGCAGCCACACTGAAGGACTGATTGATAGATAAGCTTATGAATATATCTTTTATAATTACAGCGTTTGAAATCACATTTAAACTTGCATAAAATTTATTCAAAGTAGAAATGAACGAGGAATAATTACAGCTTACACCCTTTTGATTGTCATTGCTCATCTTTATTTGAATTATTAACATTAGTCTTTTGTTGATTATTATCATTGCGTTGTTTTGTTTTAGAGTGACGATTTTATTTCAAATTACTGTAAATTATTCTTCAAAAAATTAGCAACAGAATAATTTTTGAATTCAAATCTCTCATTATTGTTGCAATTAATGACCAATTTTTTTTAATATTTTATAATTCTTTCAGACATTATATATACATTCATAACCTGCTATGTACTGATTGTCTGATAATTTTGCTTTAATGCCTTTTTTTTTTTAATCTCAGCGATTATAATAACAAAAAATAGCTTCTTTATGAGTATAATTTAATGAAATTGGTGAATCGTTCCAAAAACATTCTATAATTAACACCAATTTTTATTTTAGTTTCTAGATTCAAGTGTTTCCCTCATAATAAGTATCAAAAAAAATTATGATTGATCACTGAAATTTTTTCTGAACTCAAATTTTTTTCAAATTATTCATTTCTTCACATCTCATTTTTATTTCTTTAAATAAAAAAATAATAATACAGAAACAACGTGTTGCGTACTTGACATTCAAAAATAACTTGGAGTTTTGACCCCTGGATTAGAGAGAAAACTAGAATTTCAAATAAAAAACTGATTGCTTCCCTAATTTTCTAATTACAGTAGAACAGATTGGTCAAAATACTGCAATCAAAATTTATCATCACGCATTACGGTAGTGCGAATTGAAAGGCGCCAATCAGTCGCTGTCCTTGAGACTGAAGGCGTGGAAATATATTCATCCCTCCCTCACTCTGACCTTCGATAGATTTTATCGACAAGGTGATGATGCCACGAGGCAATAAGTAATTTTGAGATTAACTTACTTCTTGAGAGCCAAAAATCTAATTACTTAATTATTTTGTTTTTGTATTATTGTATTTATCAGTAATTACTTCAATTATGTCGAGAGTTAAGCTTTAATCCATTATATTCAAAATAAGTTAAAATTTATTACAAATTGCATTGTGAAGTTGCAAAGTTTAAAGTATTAGATGATAAAAACTGAATAATAGTGCAGGAATGAGCAGTTTATTTTTATTAATTCAACTGGTTAGGTTGTCAGGAATTTCGTGAAAAATTTTTGAAAACTAATAAAAGATTTAGATGTAAAAACCAAAAAAAAAAACAACTGATGGCTATTATTATTATTTTGAGCAAAAACATTTACTCTTACTCTTACTCTTACTCTTACTCTTGATGGTTTCTTGCTGGTTTTTGTCTATATAAAATCACTTCACAAATATGTTTATTCAGTTGAAGTAATTAACATCTAAAGAGCATGAATGATAGATAATCTCAGGCTGATATTTGTTTTGATCGAAATATTCCTACATATTCCTATATTCCTATTCCTATACTTATGCAAAGATTTACTTGTAAAATATTTGCTTTCAGTCACTTTTTCTTTCAAATTTTGAAAATCCATCAGATTAGTTTAAATCTTTATGGATTTCAAAATGATTAAATTGGATTTTACCAAAGTTCAAAAATGCTGAAAGCATTAAAGTGTTGAATTCCTTAATCTCTCATCAAATAAAAAATCACTCAATGAAAGCTGTTAAAAGTGTTATTTTAATTGTTCGTTATTGGCTTCTGATGAGAGTGAAAGTTTGATTTGCTAAGACAGAAGACTGAGCATACTTGTGAGATGCAATAATCGTTTAAATATTTACTGGCGGGGAAAAGGTTTATTTTTGAATTACCAAAAGTTTGATTTTAAATAAAGCTTATTCATTGCATCACAAAAGTTTGTATTTTTACTTGCGAAAATAAAATTGTGATATCAACGCAACCTTTTTCAACTTGAAAATTTTTGTCACTTTTTGCTTTTCATTCTGAGTTTTCCATTTAGTTACTATGGAAATTTACCGCGATACTGACAAACGAGAAGCATTTTCCCGCGACTTACCATTACGTTGTTAAAATTCATCGCGGTAATTACAGGACATATAAATGAATTGTTATTCTCATACAATTCGCCGCTGAAACTACTCATTCATGCATTTCGTTTCCTCATATACGTGGCGCCAAGGTGTCACCCACCTGTGCTTACTACCTCAATTTTCAGAATTATTTCGGCAGTTCCTTTTCCTCGCATAAATTCGTAATTTTACTCACTCTCTTTACCGTATTTCCACTTTATTTAAAAAATTCGCCAGATATTTTTGGGGAAAAAAATTGCTAAAAAATAAATTTTTTAAAAGTTTTTGACAAAATTGCTATTTTTCACTCTATTAACTCAATATTTATCAATGTGCTGCAGCCAATAAGACATATTATAAAGTATATATTTTTGTTCATATTTATTCTTTACTGAATTTGTATATTAGCGTCATTTGCTAAGCTAAGTGCTTGTTTTAATTATTCAGAAATGAGCTCTTATTTTGAACGAAATCTTTTTTCTGAGTTCATGCAAAGACATATCCAAAGACAATGCTAATTCAGTAGTTTAGAAAAAAGTGTTACATACATGTGCGTACGACAAATAGATTCATAACTATGATTTTTTCAGCACTTTGCATTTACTCTGATAATTTTCAGAGACTTTAGTTACTTTTCAGCGTCGAAGAATGTGTCGCAGTCAGTTTTCTTCTATAGCACTAACTGAGACATTCCAGACAATATAAGCTAATATAAGTTTATGTAATTTGAATTTTCATCGGAGTTCTTGCTTGTCTGAAAAGCTACACAACTTGTCTACTAATTTGCTACTGGCATTGATATCATACTTGTTTAATTTGGTAATAAGTTAAGTAATCTCTCGCAAGACACGTGCCGAAGGCTGAACAGGAATTCTCCGAGTGCAAAAAACTACTAGAAGAAAAATTTATGAATTTGTTACTTTAATAAAATTAAGTATTTTTCTTCAGAAAGTAAGGAAATTTGCAAGTCGTCGGTATAATTATTATTTA